GTAAATGAAATCACGTTAAAAAGTTCTTGTAATTTATTGAATTTCAGTATTATCAGACACATTATAATTTTAATATGATAAGAAACTTGGAGTACCTGTATCAAGCCATGTGACTTTGAAGGTTAAAATTTCGCAAATACCAAGTTTTCTAATGAAATATGTAAGTTCTTAACTCAGTTCTACGATGCACTTTCACAATGAAAGAGTCCTCCTCCTCCTTGCGTCGATAATCCTCAGTGCTGAGGGTTATCGATTATTAAAGTTATTAAGTTATTATTATTATTAAGTTATGAAAGAGTAACACCGTATAAAAAAAATTAAACCGCAAAACAATTGAGAGGCAAGTCTCAGATGGGGTTGGGCTCTTCTAACCATTTGACGTCCGCATATAAAATCAGTCCGCGACCGTGCCACGTTTATTCTCGGTAGACTCTACCCCATGATCTGTAAGCGGAGTAAAATGTCCCTTCGGAACAAGGTGACACTTTACAAAACTTGCATAAGGCCGGTCATGACTTACGCGAGTGTGGTTTTCGCTCACGCGGCCCGCACACACATAGACACACTCCAATCTCTACAATCCCGCTTTTGCAGGTTAGCCGTCGGAGCTCCGTGGTTCGTGAGGAACGTTGACCTACACGACGACCTGGGCCTCGAATCAATCCAGAAATACATGAAGTCAGCGTCGGAACGGTACTTCGATAAGGCTATGCGTCATGATAATCGCCTTATCGTTGCCGCCGCTGACTACTCCCCGAATCCTGATCACGCAGGAGCCAGTCACCTTCGACGCCCTAGACACGTCCTTACGGATCCATCAGATCCAATAACTTTTGCATTAGACGCCTTCAGCTCTAACACTAGGAGCAGGCTTAGGGACCCCGGTAACCGTACTCGTCGAACTCGACAAAGAGTTCGACGTGCAACCTAACCCATGAATCAGCTCGCTGAGTTTCTCGCCGGATCTTCTCAGCGGGTCGCGATTCCGATCCGGTAGTAGATTAATTCGCGAAGCAGCTGCTCTTGAGCTGTTAGGTCTCCTTCGGAGGCGCTCGGGCAGCTGTTAGCAAATCCCACCCCTTCTGGCTAAGCCTTTACTCGCCCACCTGTCCTGGTGAAACTGGAAAGGTCTCCGGGCCACCAGTAATCCTTCAATCATAAAAAATAAAAAAAAATAAAAAAAAAACCTTTGACATCAAGAAGCCGTTAGATCAATCGATTATAATAGATTTTTCCCGAACCGTGGATATTATTCAAAATACTTACATTCGCATATACAATACTCACACTGCTCCGTGATGCCCTACATTCCCGTCCTATTTGATAAGCCGTGTCAAGAGTGATTTAGCGAGTATCAATCATAGTAGTCTAACTTCCAATATCTATCGAAAAAATAGGCATCCTGTTCTCCTCGTATAACAATGATCGATTGCAGGAGCTGAGCAGCGACCTGGACTGTCTAAACACATTCCGCAATCCAGACGGCGTGTCGATGTAATAGGTGAGATCACGTCACTACCCGATCGAAAAACAACGAGTATTACTTGGAAGAGAGCACGTAAATGTGATTTAGCGTGTGCATACATCCGTGTGGGCGTTAAACAGAAGACGATCGATCACAGAGCCTTCTACTTTCACCCGTTTGATGGATTTAATGTTTATTTACGTTTTTTTCCTTTATTTTTTAACATCCATTTTTCACATAATCTTCGCTCACAGCTCCTCGTGAGTATTTTGAGTGTTGAGCGTAAAATAGGCAACAGCATTCTTTGACCATCATAATCGCATACTCAGTACAGAATGGGTTTCTTTTTTATTATACTCGATGAGTGAACAAGCTCTACATATATATAAAGCAGTTTTATGTACAAACAACGTCCAGGAAACATTAAAACTGTTGATAACCTTACCCTTGCGCGGCGAACCTCTCTCGGCATCGTAATTAAAATATATAATATGCATCCAAATAAAACGGTAAGTTCACTATTTCCGCTCAATTATAATATAAACACTTCATTGCCGGATAAGTGACGAATATTGTAGGTACGTAACGTATTAATAATGAAGGCAAACAATTACATCATACATTAATTAGACAGCGATACTACACTTTACGAAAATCAAAACATTTATGACATCCCTAAAACAAAAACACAACCAACGGTTCGCGACACTCGATTCATACTCGAACTCGACTAGATTTCGTAAAGCGCGTGTTATCGTTAGCGCTACACGCCGCGTTATGTCGCCCGCGTGCCGTCCTGTTTCCGTGTCGATGACAAAAAAATTGTAAGAATTCATAATTAGAACGAAACTTTCCGTATCCGTGTTCAGTGAACGCTTCCTGATAGGGCGTGTTATTGAGATGAACATAGTCTCACTGAAGCTATCGATTCTTTCAAATCTCAAGAAGAAGCATTCAATATCGTAAAAGTTAACTGAAATTTGTATGGATTTGGAACGTTTTCCTATGCTTGCCGCTAGGGGCGCTGTTCTAACTGCATACAAATTTGAGTTAACTTTTACGCTATCGAGATCGTAAAAAAACTCGCACTAAGCACACAGAGAGTAAATTCCGCCACTCACTGTGGCGAAGTCGAAGTCTCAGTTGTACTATCAACAACTATCTCGTACCCTTCAAAAACGAAAGAATGATTGCTTCGCGGGAGCAACAAGGACCATAGGTTAGAACTTACAATGCGCCCTACCATTAACGATTACGAAAATTTTGAAATTTCATGGGTTTCATTTCCATAAAAGATGTTTTCGTCGTAGAATCGTAGGATATGATCATGACAAAACTTAGGGTTTAGATATTCTCAACAGCTAACTAAAAAATCTGTTGGTTTTTCTCTGGAATAATGGATTGCATTGAAGAATTGATGGCAGTAATGAGACTAGCAGTCTGGGGACGTCTGCTACTGGATGAACAAAATAGGCTTACATAGTGAGATAGATCTCGTTTTTATGAAATTTATATTTAAATCACCTTACGTTTTTTTTCACACTGTAGAACAGTTAGGAAAAGGGATTTTAATTAGAAATTTGCAATTTGGCTACGAAGCCCCCTAAAGTTGTCAAACGAACATAACATTTAATCATTCAATTTTATTGATTTAATCAAAATTAACACCATTTATTGCATTTATTATATTCATGAATATTACGAACAAAGGTTAAATGTATTTTCTGTCTAATAATTCAAGATTGAATGCGGATTCAATCGGATGGAAATTAAATATCGATGCAGCCTCGCAGTTTCTTAAATATATGCGGCGGGCTTAATACATAATATCATTTTCAAACGGCTGACCACCGTCCCAACGGTTAAAGACCCCATGAATTGGATATTAAGCTAATTTAAATTTAAATGGCACTACTTAATACTTAATACAATAGTGTCATTTTTAGTTTACAAAACTCACAAATCACTAACGAGTTCAGTGTACCATAGCCAATAGTAGGGTTTACAGAGCCGGCATAAAGTATTGGGCTCAAAAGCCGTTGAGATTTACATTTATTTCAAATAGTCTCAAAGTGAAGGCGATCCACTTCCTATTACTGAATCCCACGTGACCTTAGAATTAAAAAAAAAGAGGAAGACAAACCAAAACATCAAGTACTAATATTTACAAAAAAAAAACTTAAGAGACGTCCATTAAAGTGGCATTTACTAAAAACAAGCCGAGACGCCATTTTTACCGTTTCGCATTGTTTGCGCAGTCTGTGGAAGTGGAACGAAAGCTATTGAAATCCAACGAGGACGACCGGAACAGATCATAAGACAGATGCCGTTTCAAATCACAATTAGTTCTACATTTAGCCTTGTGAAATTTCTAGTTCTTTCTCCGTGTCTGAGTTCGTATTTCGACGTTGCTAAACGAAACTATGAGTCCATCTCCCAAGGTGGCCGACAATAACTACCGCTTCAAACTAATAGAACGGACCTATTTATGGGTAACGATATTATGAAGAGCACAGAGTCTGAAGTCATCAGTGATCCTTATATTTGCAACAATAGTGAAACAATGGGTATACAAAAAGAGCTGCTACCAACCACACATTTCGGTTCACGAAATTTGACATTCTATAGTTCGGACTTAATACACGATCGTTATATCGATGAAGTAATGAACGCATATAGCCACTTATTATCTATATAGCAGAGGATTGGTGGGGAGGAAGCATTTCGAGCACAAGTGATAATATATTACGTATTTTCGATGTAGTCATGCATAACGACTTGATGAGAGCAGTCGTTGCTGAAGTGCAATTGTTTCACTTATTCCTCCCTCAACATCAAGAGGCCGTGAACAGGTCTACTCACCTACAGCAATAAAAAGTACCGGTGTTCAGTCTAGACTTTGGCGTTAATAAAATATTTTACGAATGGCAAACTAGCAAAGAACATGCTGAACGTATTATAATAGATCCACAATACGTAGACAAAGAATTAGATATTTATAAGAATGATATCATCGCTCGTAATGTTTTAAATGTAACTACTAAATGTGAAAATAAACACGTAACTTTGTTTTGTAAAACAAATCGAATTCAAAACGTGGAAAACGTTTAATAAACGGTCGCCATGAATTTTCCGGTGTAATAAAATATTTATTTAGGGATGTGATTCGAATATGACAAAAAACATGAAAATATTTCGGGGAAAATAGCTTAGCAGGAAAACGGGAAGAAAAGTAATATATGGGAAATTCACGAGGTAAACATGATCATGTTTTTGAATGTGCAAAAAGTTATTGAATTCGAAATTAGGATAATTCGTGTTACAGGAAAAAACTCATCTTAAATTTGCAACGATAATCGTAAGGTAAAATTAAATTTATCATCGTCTTAATATATAATATTCAATACATATATAAAATCCAACGCAACATATCGTTATTAAGAATTTCGTATTTTATCCTTATTGATGATCTGAATGTATTCTTTTTAAATACTATAAGTTTTGAGAGACATAAATAAGAGCTTGGATGACTCACCTTCTCGCTGTTGTCTGTTGGCAGGGTGCCATAGCCGTACCAGCTCCTGGCTGCCTTTAATCTTGGTTCGTCTCGAGGGGACAGCAGCCCACTGCCCCATCTGGCCAAGCCTTCAGCCACAGCCGCAACGCTGGGCGTATTAGGACTTCCATTCGGAGTGTTAGGAGTACCGACTCCTTTCTCGTCCACTGGAGGTAATGTCGGTCTTGCTGCTCCCGTCCTTCTCTCGTAAATACGTTTACAAGGCTCGTCTGCATCCGTTTCTAGGAAGCTTTTTTTATCGCTTCCCCGTTTTGTTTCACATATCCTTTTCACTTCATCCTTCACTTTCTTTTCAGGCTCCTTCTTTTTCGTGCTATCATTAGAGTCTTGTCGGCAGAGCAACGTTTTCTTCAAGCTCTCGGTGGAGTCCTGCGATGTGAACTGGCCTTTCTTATCCGCGTCTTTGATTGTCGCCTTCTTATCGTCCTTCGATAAAAGGGCACGTTTAAGGCTATCGCTCGAGTCTTGTTTATTGATCACTTTACGAGGGCATTCTGTGTTTAGCGAGTCTGTCGTTTTCGAAATTAATAGTTTGGGGTAGTCGTATGGTGCGTGATCGCTGGCCGGGTTCAGTTCCAGAGATCTACGATTTTTCTTTTTGTCCGTTGGAGCTATTTGAGCTTTGACCGGGAGCAGCCTGCGAGGCAAGAGGCTGCGGTGGTCTGCGAGCGGGGACTCGGGTCGCAACATGTTGAGCAGCGGATACTGAGCTGCCACAATCTACATCTTTCCTGTAACAAAGAACAAAAAACAATCAGTTATTTAAATATTTAGTTATTTATTTTATTATTGCTTGATGGGTGGACGAGCTCACAGCCCACCTGATGTTAAGTAGTTACTGCACCTCATAGACATCTACAACGTAAATGCGCCACCCACCTTGAGATATAAGTTCTATGCCCCACCCTTCAAACCGGAACGAATTACTGCTTCACGGCAGAAATAGGCAGGGTGGTGGTACCTACCCCTGCGGACTCACAAGAGGTCCTACCACCAGTAAAGGTACATCTTAAAATAACGGACAAAGATAATTCATCCGAAATTCTTATGTTACTTTTATTACAAAAATGGCAATAAAGCCAACACTACATACAGCGATTCTCACCGTGTCACGCGCATTCAGAGTGTCGCATTTAAAGTGAATACGAACGCTCACCGTTTATCTACATCATCGTATAAATAAAGCGAGACATTCATTTTAAAGGTCTGGGTTATCGAATCATCAACGGTACGGTTTACGTCACGTACGATTTTAACAACAATTTCATATTCAATATTTGAATTTCTCTGACGTTTGCATCGTTCTTAATAAATAGCGATTTATCTTATCATTGAGTGAAAATTATACTGTTATCGTTTTGTAACCGTGAAAGGGGCATATGACTGTGTTTAAATTCTGTGCGAGTGCGATATGAGTAGCTTTGTCCTTCCTTTCGTTAGATTCTTTAAGGATGGGCAGATAAAATTTCAGCCACTTGGTGTTGATTGTTTACAGGAGATCATGGCAAAGTAAATGCGGCTACCCGCGTTGGAAAACGACGTGGAAATCTCCATAGCATTGTATTACGCTTTATCATTGTAAAATCATGATCTACTAAAGAAAAACAAAGCTTCGTTTTGGATGGTCAGGATTGATTTGGAAGTTGAAACGGTCTATACAAAAATAGGAAGTATCCTAATAACGTTCAAGTTTTTATGGCTGTTTACTTAAGCTTTTGCCCACGTTATAAATATACGACGTACGGATTCCTCAAACTATACCCTCGATTACCCGTATTCAAATTAATTTGTTAGTAACAGTGACGTCAGACACATATGCAGTAAACAGTAAAATAGTTTCTTAGTGACATCATGAACATCACACAAGTTTTACGTTATAATTTGATACTATACATATTATTATTATTATATATATTTTTTTTTATTGCTTAGATGGGTGAAAGAGCTCACAGCCCACCTGATGTTAAGTAGTTACTGGAGCCCATAGACATCTACAACGTAGACGCGCCACCCACCTTGAGATACAAGTTCTAAAGTCTCAGTATAGTTACAACGGCTGCCCCACCCTTCAAACCGAAACGCATTACTGCTTCACGGCAGAAATAAGCAGGGCGGTGGTACCTATCCGCGCGGACTCACAAGTGGTCCTACCACCAGTAATTATGCAAATTATAATTTTGCGGGTTTGATTTTTATTACACGATGTTATTCCTTCACCGTGGAAGTGAATCGTGAACATTTGTTGAGTACATATTTCATTAGAAAAATTGGTACCCGCCTGCGGGATTCGAACACCGGTGCATCGCTTCAACACGAATGCACCGGACGTCTTATCCTTTAGGCCACGACGACTTCAAATTACCGAGTAGGTGGCTTATAATTTTCCAAATCACACGTTAGTAGCGACGAGTCATTACGCTAGCGTGTTTTATTACGATGTATGAAAAGCAAGGAGACTCGAAGCAATGTGTATGTTTTTGCTTTTTTTACGGCTTTTTAAAAAGTATGTACACACACACACAAAGTATGTAAATAATGACTAGATAAGAAATTTTTTGCGTAGTTTTTTTTAAGAGATTTTATGACCTGGTAACTAAGACCTTTAAGTCATGTCTTATTTTACTTTATATTCTTAATTTTATGAAAAATGATAATATGGAGTGAAATGAAATGAAGATGATTAATTTGAGACATTAATCAACTGGGATGAATTTAATGAAATGAAATGATATGGGATGAAATATAATCGCAGTAAAATGATGGTCATTTACTGAGATTTTTTCAGTGGACTTTTTGGAGGAACCCGAGAAGTTACGTCCAGCAAGCAGCTTTGTTTCATTTTCCCACATTTGTGCACTTTCACAGATATTAAACAGTTAATAAACCACCATTATTACACATTTAAACATGAAGAAACAACAGTTAAACCTGAAGAAACACTAAATAGACAAAATAAAACAAATCACACAACTTCACTCCTCGCGTTCCCGCCAAACAAGTCCTTTTGCGTAGTAGACAGACAATCCGCATGTACCCGTTTCTTTTGGAACTATTTTGAACCTACCCACAGTTCATCAGATATATAAGACACCTTCCCTCTTGGAAAATTATTGAGATTGACTCAACATCAACATTTGTAGGCAGCGGCTTGGCTCTGCTCCTGGCATTGCTGAAGTCCATGGGCGACGGTAACCACTTACCATCAGGTGGGCCGTACGATCGTCTGCCTAAAAAGGCAATAAAAAAAAAAACTACACCTCCAACAGATGACGCCTGATTAATGGCGTCCGATGATAGGATTAGTAAATAATACTCGTAATGATTACAAAATAATACTCATAGAAACAAAAAATAAATATTTTTTGTAATTAATAACAAGTCGAATAAATATTTGTGGATTTGCGACTTCACACTAATATACTTATATATTTTTTAAATTGCTTTTATGGGTGGACGAGCTCAGGGCCCAACTGGTGTTAAGTGGTTACCGGAGCCCATGCAAATGCCGCCACCTACCTCTAGACATGAGTTCTAAGTTCTCAGGTTTTACAGTACAACGGCTGCCCCACCCTTCAAACCGAAACGCATTACTGCTTCACTTAGGTTATTAGATTAAAGATAACTTTTTCTATCCTATAGCTCAAATCAAATCAAGAATTTCACGGAACGCACTAATCCGAAAAATAGTCATTTTAATAATTAAATAAAATCTGATAATCGAACGAAAGACTATTTCTTAAAAACAGATTTCTCTTAAACTCGAATAAAACAATGCAACCGTTACCATCAGCTAACTGTGTCGGCAATAGTCAACAATTTAAAGTAACTAGAGGTCCCGCAGTAGTCGAAATTCAACTATTGGAATATTCAATTAATTGGAATTGTAAGTTTGTACACTATTATAATTGTATTTTATACTTCTATAATCACAAATTTCGCCAAGACTACACTGTAAAAAATATTAACAAAGACAAACAATGTTTAATCTATTCTCAATTTGACAACAGACGCCAAGAACAAAAGTTTGACAATAAATAGTATGCATGCGTGTGTACGTCAAATACATGGTATGTAGTGTGTGTAATGTTTTCTTTATTGATTTAATGTATCTTTTATGCATTATTTTAAAAAAAGATTAGCATTGGAACAAAGTTTTTGCTTCACGTATTAATAAATATATAGATTTCTTGCGAAACAGTTGTCACGTCTGGTTCAGTTTGCAACTATGCTTCCATTGTTTCAAGTTTCACGCGTCTCTAGAGACATGTTTGTAAGTCAAATGTCGTATCTACTTATCTGTGCTCAATTTGTCAATTCAATCGGTTCGTTCTGAAGGTCGGTGACCCGTCACCCTGTACCACAGGATGTTTTTTTTTTTTATTGCTTAGATGTGTGGACGAGCTCACAGCCCACCTGATGTTAAGTGGTTACTGGAGCCCATAGACATCTACAACGTAAATGCGCCACCCACCTTGAGATATAAGTTCTAAGGTCTCAGTATAGTTACAACGGCTGCCCCAGCCTTCAAACCGAAACGCGTTTCTGCTTTACGGCAGAAACAGGCAGCGTGGTGGTACCTACCAGTGCAACTCACAAGAGGTCCTACCACCAGTAAGCCGTTATTCAAATTCAGTGTACAGTTCTAAGCTTCTATCGTGTTTCTAAATTAAAATAGACAAAGGGAATTTATGGATCTGCCAGGAAACAAAGACAACTTCTATATTGAACGTCGAATAATTCCTTTGATGAATTTTACTTATGAATTAATTCTTTGAACTTTAAAATTTGTTTTTGAATATAATGGAAACTTTTACAGTGTAATCTCGCGTTTACAAATTTCTACGACGTTTCGAATTCTTTACAGTCTTCATGTTCGCGGGCGACTATTAGTATTCTTCGTCGACATTTGAATTTTAGGTATTCAAGTTTTTTTAGGTCTAAACCGTCGTATGGGTTCGGTTAACACATTATATATATTGGATGGAAGATTGGACGATCTCAAGGCCCACCTGGCGTTTTGGGGTCACCGGAGCCCATAGACATCAATCACCTCAATGCCACCGCCCACCTTGATACACGAGTTCTAAGTCTGTTGGTAAGGTGTTAGCAAACTCGTCCATGCTAAGCCTTATGAGCTCACTCACCGGTCACGGTGAAGCCAGACTAGCCTCTTGACGCTGCTGTCAGATAGGTCAGAAGAAAAAAAAACAATATAATTGATACTTTGACCTCACGTGTCATAGGGCGGCGGCAGTCACGTTGCGATGTCTATCGTCGGATAGGCTGTGAACTCTTTGACTTATCAATGCAATAAAAAATATTTTTTTTTTTATATACCGGCGTTCATTTGACGTCGCGTGCTGATATTAAATCTGGACGTCACGAGTTAATGAGTGGTAAGGCATTTAAGGCAGAAATCATCGTTTGGCAGCTCATAATCAAATCGTAACTCGGATACGTGAGGAATAACTTCGTTTCTTAATTTCTCTCTTCCTAACACAGTCACATGTAAGCTCAGCTCTAATTTACATACATATCGAGGGGATGAAAGGCATTTAGGTTTAATTTAGCACACCTTTTTTTTACAATGAAATAATTTTTTCTTACATTATTTTTAATTCAAATTTATTAAAATTTATTTTCTATTTTTTAGTTAGATTTTCTATAAAAGCGTATTTTTTTAGTTTTTTAAACTATTATTAATTATTTTTCATTTTTTAGTTGAATTTCA